TAATTTGGAGAGGCTTGTTTTAGATCGCAACTATTTTGTTTCTCTACCAAATACTATTGGTAACATGAGAAGACTAGATCACTTCAGCATTGCCCACAATTCGGTGGGTGAGCTACCACCGGAAATTGGTTGTTTAAATGAGCTGAGAGTTCTGGATATCCGAGGGAACAACATTAGGAAGTTGCCAATGGACATATGGTGGGCCAACAAACTCGAGACGCTAAATGCTTCCTCCAATGTGCTCGAGAATTTCCCGAAGCCAGCCTCGCGTCCACCTCAAATACCCGGAGAATCTTCAAGCACTCCTACTCCCAACAACAAAACATTAGCGGGAGCCTTATCTCAAACGTCCAGCTCCGAAGATTTAATGCCAGATGGATCTCGTCGACCTAGCCAGGCTTCGAGCACGCTGCTTAGTGTCGGGCCTTCTCCCGTTCCTAACGGAGCGGATCGCAAAGGTTCTGTTGTATCCGTCTACGGAAAGGGAGGACGGAAAACTTCGGTCGTCTCGAGAGCTACGACGGCTAGTAGCAGTATTAATGGGACCATGACTCCGTCTGCGTCTGCGACATCAAGAAAAGATTCCGGACTTTCCAATCGGCTAACTAGCACCTTCGCCGGTTCATTGAGAAATCTATATCTTGCCGACAATCAGCTCGATGACGATGTGTTCGAACAGATTATTCTCCTGGCCGAATTGCGCGTTCTTAACTTGTCCTACAATGACCTTAGTGACATGCCACAACGCTGCATTAAGAATTGGCCGCAGCTTGTGGAACTATACCTTTCGGGTAATGATCTGACCAGTCTGCCAGTTGACGATTTGGAGGAGTATAGCTTGCTTCAGGTGCTTCACATCAACAACAACAAATTTACGAACCTGCCGGCGGATATCTCCCGAGCAAAGAAACTGGCTGTGTTGGATTGCGGAAACAATTCTCTAAAATACAATATTTCAAACGTACCGTACGATTGGAACTGGAATCTGAATCCAAACTTGCGATTCCTCAATTTGTCAGGAAACAAACGCTTGGAAATCAAACAGACAAATCTTGGGCCAGGGGCTGTCAATCGCGAGCAGTACACCGATTTTGGTCGGCTGTTGAATCTCCGTGTGCTCGGATTGATGGATGTCACTCTCACCAACCCAAGTATTCCAGACCAGAGTGAGGATCGCCGTGTCAGAACATCGGGTTCATTAGCTGGCCATCTACCATATGGTATGGCTGATACGTTAGGGAGGAACGAGCATCTGTCAACTATCGATCTAGTCGTTCCAAGGTTTAACTCTTCGGATTCGGAAACACTCCTAGGCTTGTTCGACGGGCAGGCGCTGTCCAGTGGTGGCTCTAAGATCGCCAAGTACCTGCACGAGAATTTTGGTCACATTTTCACATTGGAACTGAAGGCTCTAAAGACGCGCCAGAGTGAAACTCCTATGGATGCACTCAGGCGCGCGTTCCTCGCCCTCAACAAAGACCTTGTCACCGTAGCTATCGAACATACTGAGAAGAGGTCGTTGATGTCCCATCGTGGTTCCTCAGCACCAGTTGTCCTTAGTAAGGAAGATCTCAACTCGGGAGGAGTTGCAACCGTCGCATATCTTCAAGCTCAGGAGCTATACGTTGCCAACGTTGGTGACGCGCAAGCCATGCTTATTCAATCTGATGGTTCTCATAAGATCCTGACTCGGAAGCACGATCCCGCTGAGCCGAACGAGCGTCAACGAATACGAGATGCCGGAGGCTGGGTGTCACGGCAAGGAAAGCTCAATGATTTACTGGACATCTCTCGTGCTTTTGGCTACATCGATTTAATGCCCGCTGTACAGGCGGCTCCTAATATTACACAGACCTCGATCACACCTCAAGATGAGACGATTTTGATCGCTACTAAAGAATTATGGCAGTATCTGACCCCCGGTTTAATTGTTGATGTTACCAGGTCAGAGCGAGGAGATCTTATGCGCGCCGCGCACAAGTTACGAGATCTTGCTATCGCCTATGGCGCAAATGGAAAAATCATGATCATGATGATCAGTGTCGCCGATCTCAAGCGGCGCCAGGAACGGTCAGCTCGTCTACATAGAGGGCAGAGCATGTCACTATACCCCTCCGGAGTTCCAGATGAATTCCAATACCCGATCAAGCGAGGCAGAAAAGCGAAGGGCGAGGTTCAAGATTCCACACTACACAGACTCGAGGCCGAAGTTCCTGCCCCGACCGAGAAGCCTTCTATTGTTTTCACTGATATCAAGAACTCGACTAACCTATGGGAGATGTATCCGTCTGCTATGAGATCTGCGATCAAGCTTCACAACGAGGTGATGCGGCGCCAACTCCGGAGAATCGGTGGATATGAAGTCAAGACTGAAGGTGATGCTTTTATGGTCTCCTTCCCTACTGCCACCTCGGCTCTATTGTGGTGTTTTGCCGTTCAGACTCATCTACTTAATGTTGATTGGCCTTCGGAAATTCTCAATTCCGTTTCCTGCCAAGAAACGTACGACAAAGACAATAATCTCATATTCAGGGGTTTGTCGGTCAGAATGGGTATCCACTTCGGTGAGCCAGTGGCTGAAATTGATCCTGTCACACGACGCATGGACTATTTCGGTCCGATGGTGAACAAAGCATCTCGTATATCATCCGTAGCCGACGGAGGTCAGATTACCGTATCAGCGGATTTCATTTCCGAAATCCAGCGCTGCCTTGAGACTTATCAAGAAAACGATCGAGTTGGGTCTACGGGCTCCGACGATACATTCGATGATGATGTGACGTCATCAGCAATTAGGAGAGAATTAAAATCTCTGAGCTCGCAAGGATTTGAAGTGAAAGACATCGGCGAGAGGAAACTCAAGGGTCTAGAAAACCCTGAGTACATATACTCTCTCTATCCGCACGTTCTCGCTGGCCGTATTGAGCATCATAGCGCTGCGACAGCGGCCGAGGTTGCCGAGAAACCTGCTACGCTTCAAGCCGGAAGTGATCTTGGATTTGATCCGGAGATCATCTGGGCTCTTTGGAAAGTTAGTTTGCGGTTGGAAATGCTTTGCAGTACTCTCGAAGAAATGTCCGGAAGAGGCTTACAACCTCCCGAGACCGAGCTTTTAGAGCGCATGAGACAACGCGGTGGAGAGGTCACTGAACGGTTCCTATTTAATTTCATGGAGCATCAAGTGAGCCGCATAGAGGTATGAATTCCCACCATTAGAGTCGTTTGTTTGTATTTGCTGACCCACTATTTTAAAGACTTGCATATCCACGCTTACGATGCGACACATCGCTATGGGCAGTGGCCCTATCCACTCACTAGACGATCTTCGAACGCCGATGGCTGTAGTACTCGACAATCTAGCCATTCAAATGGCTGAACTCGAAAAATATAAGGCCAAATTTGGAGATCTTCCAACCGACAGTGAAGACGACGAAAGCAGTATTGATGAGGACTGAATCTAACTAGCTACCTACCTACGCACTCGGCACCCCCTGCACACTATTATTCCCCTGTATTATATTACTCCGATATTTGTTTCTCGGTTCTTACATCATTATCACCTACACTTTTACTCACGCATTCGAATGGGAGTACAACACTCATTCTATATACAATAAACCCTTTTTAATGTGCTACGACGAAGATATCGCTACGACTACTTCCGGAGAGGGCGAGGTTATTTGCTTTTCTTTTCTGCTTTTTCCAAATCCGAGCTTGGCGGTTGGCTAAAACGTCGACGAACGGCGTCCTGCGAGCATTGAGGTTTCACACAGCGGGGCTCCTCCAACAGCCACCCACGTCTTGGCGTCCCGCGGGTAACTTACTACTTTGCGCGTGTTTCTTGGAATATCCGAAAAAATGGTGCGGTTTTTGTTAGACATGAAAGCCCTCCCTGTTACTACTGTTAGGCATGGCATTTTTTGTTGGGGTCTTTACAGGCATAATTAGCCGCGGCCGTCATTATTCTGTCTAAATTCCACACACATACAGACGGTCGCGAGTTGGCGTTTATTATTATCATATCATGGGAGGGCAGTTGGAAAAACTGCGAATACTGGAAATATGGGAAAGAGAAACGGGAGGACGGGTTGATTCCCTCTTTTTTTAAGAAAACCTCTGAAGTTTTGTTGCTTTTTTATTTTTATTTTGAAGTAATGGGGACGTCGACGTTCGACGTCTTCTGTCTGTGTTTGTGATGACACGATGTGACGGTTGTTTACGGCTGGTTGGCTGGCCGGCTGGCTGGTACACACACTTTTTATCTGTCCTGTCTCCGATACAGTATGCTTACGTACTACGAACGAGCTTACCTCGAGTAGGTAGGTAGCTGGCAAGGAAAATCCAAACCGAGCCGCCCTATTGGGCAGAGGGTTCGGACTTGTTGATGGAATGATTGCGTTGACTTACACACCGTTTTCCGTGTCTAAAGATATGTGTGAGCGAGTGATTTGAGAGGGAGATACTTGTTGATATCTGATGTATATGTGCTATGTGGGCAAGAATGTTACATGTGAGAAGACGGGTCAGTTCATCGAAACGGATTATCCGATGATCGATTCTGATAGGAGGGGACTGTGGTAATATTTATGAATATATGATCATACCTACGTATATGCGCCTCTATACTACCTAGAACTAGGTAGCTTAGGACGCCTCTTAATTACACATTTTGAAAGTACGGTACTAGCAGCGGACTTCACTGTGTCCGAGACCGGAGATATTAGATCGAGGTGACACAGCAGTAATGAGGGTAAGATCCCTGATGGAATTTACAACAGTGAAATTTTCTTATTCAATACTGTCCTCGTTGTAGTAGGCAGATGGTATACCACCGAACGAAAATGAGGCAAACGGGTACAGAGATGCCTAGCTACCTATCTACCTATATGGAATATTAAATCCAAATTCAAACGAAACAAAATTCTATACTTACTTATTACCCCAACTCAGATTGTAAAACGTCTAAGAAAGTCAAATAGAAAAAAAGGTAAAAAAAGAATTGCACCCACCGGGATTCGCACCCGGGTCTTTCCCTCGCCCTCATCCGAATTAATACTCGAGAGTGGGAGGGGAATGAGCTAAACTGCTGCTCCATAGATGCCTTACATCCAGAGTCTCGTCTTTTGTATGTTCACATCGTCGACAAATATGTCCTATAAGCCTTGCCGGCTGGATATCCGGCGATCTCCCGGAGGAAGGAACGGGGACGGCTAGGCAGGTAAGGTAGGAAGGAGCGTTTGCGACGCGTCTAAGACGCGTGCCTGCCTGCTTTTCTACGGCGCCTATCCGTTTCGATAGAGTACGACGTAGATACGAGGCTAGCCTTGTAAGTCAGCTTCTTTGACTTACAGCACAGTATCAGTCTCAGGTCTATGCAAACAGTAGCATTGGAGTCGCGGCTACGTGCTTAGTGAGTTGGTGATATCACATACATATATGCAGACCACATCACATAGGTGGACACACGTAACAAACACAGATATCTCGAATTCCTTCATTGTTCTTTATTCAATATATAACGAGTGATGCTATGCTACGCTATGCTGACTTAAATTATTCCGTACCCAATAGATCGCGAGGCTGTAAGTTAAAGGGGGGTATATCGATTTTGTATCGCTCAAACCAACATGTCAATCAAAAACTCCTGCTTTATGTCGTTCCCAACATACATGATAGATACTAGATATGTAAAATCATATAAAATGTCATCCAATCGGGTAGGGTCGGGTGTGTCGTCGTCTGGGGTAGATGGAACCGGCTTCGTCCAATCCCTAATCTATGTTGCTTTCCCCATCCCCCTCAGCCTTGCCACGTCACTCGTACACACTGAGACTCACTATACCCAAACATTATACATCCCACGCTATACAATACAGTTAAAAAACCCTCAAAACTCGCGAATCCTGTAGTTGAGAAAAAAACATGGGCGACGACGCCCAATGCTAGGGGGGCTGGTATCCCCAAGGATATACGGAGATGGCATGAGAGCCAATCCAAAGAATGGTACAAGCCCGAACAATGCTTTCGAGCAACGAATTGAGCAGAGACACATCTGACATATTACTCCAACGACCAATTAGGAGGCCACGCCCCGCTAACCAAAAATTTGAACCTTTTAAGAACCAGTAAGCTTCTTCCACCAGCTACTTCGAGGGGTCGCGTCAGTGAATACGGCGGCCTCACGCGGCCCTCCAGCTCCACCGCTACCATCCGAGCCACCTACGCGACGGTCCCGGCGATCTCGCTCCTCGCGGCGGTCACGGTCTTCACGACGGTCCCGTTCCTCGCGGCGTGCGCGACGACGTCTTCGGTCATCATCCACCTCGGCTTCGACATCACCATACTTCGCGCGGCGACGGGCGGCTCGGCGAGCGGCTCGGCGGGCCTCTTCGTCATCTTCCATTGGGGGTGGGTCGTGGACAGGTCCACCATCCTCAGGGGGTGGCCCAGCATCAGAGTGCTCCTTCACCCAAGAATCCGTACCTGAGTGCGGCCAAGCAGCAGGCTTGCTTCGCCTACGTTCATCAACCGCGAATCGCGAAGTTCTTTCCGGGGGGTAGACATACTCGTTAGCCGGCATCGTGCGCCTCCGACTGGCCTTCTCCTCGGCACGCCTAGCTTCGTGTCTTCTCCGTCTACGCTCCTCCTCGTCTTCGGAAGCCTCGGCGTATCGCGCCCTCCGTCGTTCGGCCCGGGCTGCGCGTCGAGCTTCAGCTTCAGCTTCCTCGGCGGCGGCTGCTTCTTTCTCAAGCTTACGTTGCCGACGTCTTTCGGCTCTTTCAGCTTCTTTAGCTTCGGCAGCAAGGCGCTCCGCTTCGCGTTCTCGGGCAGCTCTACGTTCAGCTCGTCGAGCCTCTCGCTCGGCTTGTCTGCGTGCTTCAACGTCATCTTCTTGTCTCCGACGCCTTTCGCGCCTCTCTTCCTCTTTCGCGAGACGCGCCTCTTCAGCAGCCTTCTCTTCGGCTTTCCTTTGACGGCGAGCCGCACGACGAGCCTCTCTCTCTTCGTCTGCCGCATCGACTTCCATAGCACGGTAGTCGCGGGCATCGCGTACAGATCGTCTGGGCCTTTTATCAGGTCTAACCTCATCATCTGTGGTATAATATGTACTACGGCGACGCGGGGCTTCGGGGCGTGCTTCGGATCGCGGGGTCTTGAGTCCCCCGAAAAGGCCGGCGAGGCCTTTCTTAGCACTCGAGTTCGATCGTTTGAGAGGTGTCGGCTCGGCAGGGAATCCATCGGCCATGATAATGTCCTCCTCAACCTTTATCTGCTCAAGATTAGCGACGTCGTATTTCGTAAAAGGGTGCATATTTACCCTTGTTCGCCTACGAGCTGGCTTTTCGGGGCTTGAAGGCGGTTCGGCAGCTCCAACCATGACGATATCCTCATCGTCTTGAGCGCGAGGGTTAGAGCTCTTGCGAGTACGAGTCTTTTGGCTCTTGTCAATGCCAAATATTTTCGCAGCCTTGGAAGACATCACGGGTATGTCTTCAGGCGGAGGTGACGCTAGACCACTCGTCATCTCGAATGATTGACGGCGTGAACTTGATTTGCTCATGGGTGGACGCTTCTCCCGGGTCGACATGGAACGAGAAATAGGCGGGGTGCTTTGAAATAAGCTGTTCGTGCGCTGATGCTTGGAAACTGACGCAGATTTCTTTTCTAAGCGCTCTTCTGTCCTGTTGTCCCTATCGGAAGATGAGCCCTTCGAGGAGGATGATTTGTCTTTCTCTTTCTCTCTCCTAGGTCTCTTCTCTTCAAACCTCGGCTTGGGTTTCTTTTCCTCCTTACGAGGTGTCGCTGACCACATTCCCCACGACGCGCCTGCATCGCGACTAATCTTTGCTCGCTCTTTCCTAGACGACCTATTTTCCGGAGGGGGTGTTGGGGGCCCTTCAGGCTCGTCGGGCTCTTCTTCGGGTGCAGCTGGTGGAGGAACGGGTACTTCGGGAGGCGGGGGTGGAATAGAAATAGCAGGTGGAGGGGGTATTTCTACAGCCTTGGATTTACTCTTCTTGCTCTTCTTTTTCTTCTCTACCGGTGCCATGTCAACGATTTCAACGATTTCGTTCTCGTCCTGTTCATCCGGGAATGCTCCAGGAAGTAGATCTTTGGACGACCTTTCTTCGGAGGATGGCGCGACAGGAACACGTGGTTTTGGCGGCGGAGCAGCCAGCGCATCAATCAGATCATCGTCTTCGTCTTCTTTGGCTGGTTCGAATTTCTTTAGCTTCTCGGAAAGTTTGCTGCCTTTAGTCCTGGTCTTCTTGGGTTTCATCCAATCGTCGTCGGTTGTGGTAGCTTTGTAAGATGATGGCGCATCCTCGACCGCCGCATCTTCGGGAAACTATGATGACTCAGCACATCTAATCTCGCTTCCTCTAGATCCTCTTGGTGTTACTTACCTGATCGGGTAACGGGCTTTTAGCCTTCGACCTAGAACCCCAGAAAGAAAATGCGTCCGATTTAACAACAGGTGGGGGCGACGGCTTAGGGGGAGATGCGAAGCCTGATAAGAGCTCGTCTACTTGTTCGGGAGCTAGGTCGATATTGTCAAGATCAAGGTCGTCGTCGTCGTCGTCGAAGCTCCTACGGTTCTCCTTTTCCCTTTCTTCTCGTTCTCTCTCTTCTTTCTCTCGCTCCTCCCTCTCTCTCTGTTCCTTCTCCTTCTCCCTCTGCTCCCTCTTAGACAGTTTCTCCTTCCCGCTAGACTTGGACTTTTTCTCTTCAGTCTTAGAGCTCTTCTTCGACTTCTTCTTGGAGGCAGCCTCGGCCTCTTCGCGTTCACGCTTGGCCTGTTCTTCAGCTTCGCGAGCTGCATCTTCGGCTTCCCGGGCGGCTTGCTCCTCTGCTTCACGCGCTGCCTCTTCTTCCGCCGCTCGTGCCGCCTCCTCAGCCTCTTGTGCTGCTAATTCCTCTGCTTCTTTATCATCCTCTTCCTCTTCATCCTCATCTTCCTGTGCGGCTTCGACCGCTTCCTTAGCAGCCTTCTCATCAGCACGGACTTTGGCTTTCTCAAGCAACTCATCAAGTCTCTTCTGGTCATTCTTGGTAAACTTCTTCTTTCTCTTGCTCTTAGCCGTTAGCGCATCTATTTCTTCTTCTTCGGCGGCAATCTCAGCCTCAAGTGCTTCTGCAGCAGCTTTCTCTTCGGCCTCACGAGCTTCTGCGGCGGCTTTTTCTTCTGCTTCTAAGGCCTCAGCCGCCGCCCTCTCCTCGGCTTCGCGTTGTTCCGCTTCTTCAGCTTCCTTGGCAGCCTTCTCTTCAGCGCGACGATGGGCATTCTCGGTGAGTTCGTCAAGTCTGTTTTGGTCGGCCTTTGTGAATTTCTTTTTCTTCTTCGTGCTCTTAGCTTTTAACGCAGCAAGTTCTTCCTCTTCGGCAGCAATCTCAGCCGCCAATGCTTCTGCTTCGGCTGCTGCCTTCTCATCGTCTTCACCCTTTGCATCATCCCAGACGTTTTCCTCGAGATCTTGGCCGGATAGGCTCATTGCCAAAGAAGGCGGCGTGGGCGCTGGAGGTGGAGATGCCTTATTGCCTTTACTTAGGCCTCCCCAACCCCAATCATCGTCGAGTCCCTTACCCTCTTCGACAGAATCGGGCTTGACACCGTTTAGATGAGAGCCATTCTCAATCTCGACGGGAACGTTCTTGCTTCCTTTCTTCTTTTTGTCTCTCTTCGAGCTAGGAGCGAGACCCCAGATGTCATCATTCTTAGGTTCCTCAATCGAATCGGGCATAAGGTTGTTGTGAGTCTTGTCCTTGCCAGCACTAAAGCTATCCCAGAAATCGTCCCCCTCTACGGCGTTAGGTGCTTCGGGTACAGCAGGTGGTGGGTCTTCGTGGCTGTCTGATTCTTTGTCAAGTTCCACGAGAGCAGTCGAGGCCTTGAGTTTCTTCTTGCTCCAGTTTAGCCAGCCATCACCTTCTTCTTCGATTGGTGGGGGTGTGGGCTCCTCCTTCACCTTCTTTGCAGGTTTCTTAGTTGCCCCCCAGAAGCTCCAGACACTAGAACTATGTTCCTCGTTAGCCGGTCGACGAGACGACGTCGGTTCTGGCTCAGGAGCTGGTGGGTCCTTTTCCTTTTCCTCGGTGATC